GTATCCTTTGTTTATGATTATGTGAAGTTAGAAGTTAGAAATGTATTAAATGTTACGCCCCTAACTAAGCTAGCCACTCCCACTTTGGCACTAAAATCACTTCGTCGAGAAAGTCACATCACTCTCCGAAACTCCACGTGTCTACCCAAAGTGGTTCCGGAGAGATGCCAACCACTTCGGCACAAAGTCACATCACTCTCCGAAGCTCCACGTGTCCACTCGAAATGGTTCCAGAGCGATGCCAATTCCTGACGACCTCAACATGACGCGCTGCAAGGTGAATAGATCCAATGAAGCAAACAAAGTGTCCCTCAACGTCGAAGCGTTGAAGGGCCCGAAGTACTCCCTTAACAGATCCCTCTGCCACCACTGTCAGAAAGATATCTGTCAGGATCTTGACGTGATGTCTCCATAGATTTAGTTGACATGACACATCAACTTTATGTTAACTCAACTCAGAAGAACTAATTACCCGCCCATGCTATACTCGGATGAGTGACGCCTATGAGCAGACGCCTTACACAGTCAGATGCATACACGTGTCCCACATCCAACAGTGCTCTACACCTATAAATATCCAAGGTTTGGCAAGAGACAAAGGTAATAAAAATTCTTATGACTTAGCTCTCCACACTAAGAAACATATATTCTCCTCCCCACTCTCTTGCACCACTAGAGCACTATTCCGATCACCCAACGCTGACTTGACCGTCGGAGTGTATGCGGCCGCTACAATCACCACTGGTCCCGACCGTGTACTTCTAATCATGCGTTGTTGTGCGCAGGTAGGATTATGTGGAGTAGCTACCCGTTAGCCACGTAGAGGGTCTTAATATCGAAGTTAACAGATTGACGCCATCTGTGGGAAACTTCCTGTCCAAAAGTGCCACATTTTCCACTGGAAAAATCCACCGGTAAACCATTGACTTACCTTGAAAATGGCATGTTCTTGAGAGCAGAACGGTCAATTTACAATCCCATCTCTAAACACCCTTGAAAAAGGAGTGGACAAGATGAGTTATAGTAATGAAGATGCAAATTTTGAAGGGCACAGGGATGCCTCTGAAGAATAGGTAATTAGAACCAATGTCACGCATCAGAGACCCCATCACCGGCGTCACCGAGGCAATAGAACAGCAGCACTCACTGAAAGAATGACTCAAATAGCTGCTAGAATGAGGGACATTGCTGCTCAGAACGTCGTGATGTGTGAGTTCTTTATGCAGGCCCGAGGTCATCAGGGCTTCCAAATGCATCAAGAGCCATGTCCAGCCCAAGAAATTCTTGCACCTCATGGCCTAGGTCATTTGAGTCAGCGCCGGGAACACCCCTTTGAAAGAGAAGTGGGTGTTGATGTCACATCCTACGCATAGGGGAGCCAACCGGCTGAATCACCGCTAGGAGAGAACTTCCCACCAAAATACGAGCCCTAAAGGTCTGTCAGTGTCTTCGACAGAATATGGCAGAACCTTAGTAATAGGGCCCGCTCCTTGCAAAGATTAGTTCAACAAGAGCAGGAACAAGGATAAGTACATCCTCCGCCTATAAATAGGCGCGAGAGGAGAAACCTAGTGGATTGGAGTAGTTGGGAAGAGGCACCCCCACTTCCCCAAAAATGCATCAGAAGGGGAACGCTCTGAAGGGCCATGCCGCTTCTACAAAATTGATGATGATGATGACAACCTTCCTTTCTCTAGAGAAATTCGAAGCTTCCCAATGCCTGCAAACTTTATGCTCCCTAAAATCCCAAAGTATGAAGGAAAGGGGGACCCATAGAAATACATGACGCATATGAGCCTCAAAGGAGCCTCGCCGGCACTAAAATGTAGAGCCTTCCATCTAACCCTCACCGGAGCTGCTAAAGTGTGGTACAATAGAATACCACCCATGAGCATCAGAAGTTGGCTGGACTTAAAGAATGCATTTCTGAACCAATACCTCTCACGAAGAGAAGGGGAGGCCCCAATACAACGCCTACAAGATATGAGGCAAGCTCCTGACGAGACTTTGAAAAGCTATCTCACCAGATTCACTGTTGAAATCATGTATTGTGAGCAAGTCACTGACCAGGAGGCCCTTTCAGCCTTGAAATGTGGCCTCAACATAAACACACTATTCTAGAGGGATGTACGCAGTAAAAATCCCACCACCTATGATAAACTGGTAGAAATAATGAGGGTCGAGATCGTCAATGAAGAGATGATTGACCATCAAAATCGTGCAGTGCAGGGATTCCCTCCACCTCAAAGGCAGGTAGGTCGAAGAACAGCAGCCTACCTCATCACCCAGCAATGGACCCAAGTAGGACACACAATAGCTCCCAAGTCCGGACAAGCGTTGGCTTCCGCCATGCTTGAGTAGTGCCAGTGCTAGCATACGAAAATTCTCATGCTGAAGCAGGACCATCTGGAGGAACAAACCATCGAAAGAAGAAGAAGCGATCAAACAGGCCCCTGGAAAAGGCAAGGTTCTGCACCTTTCACCAACTTCACGGACACGACACCAGTGAATGTAGGGATGCTCCTCGATCCTCGAATTGGAGTAATCCACGCTCCTCGGGAAGGAGTGAATACACCCACAGGCCCACCTCCTCGAATAGGGAAGAGAGGCGATATAAAGACCAATCACCCCGGAGGAGAGAATCCAGAGATAGAGGAGAATCCAGGCATAGGGACCAATCCCTATCTGGAGCCAAGTTATCAGGGAAATTGACACAATCATTGGAGGACCTCACATCAGGGACAACACTAGGAACGCCAGAGGAATTACATAAAGGAAGCAAAGGATCCACCAATGATTACTTACATCGTCAACCAGACCCAAGAGGCTAACAGGATGGCCCCAATCACTTTCTCTCAAGAAGATGCACAAGGAGTTCACCACTCCCCTTGTGATGCGTTAGTGGTAAGAGCCGTAGTGGCTAGAAACGGACTCAAACGCATGCTTGTCGACAATAGCAGCTATGTGAATATACTGTTCGAATCCACCTTTGATAAAATGCAGATTGAACATGGGTTGATCCTCATGACCGACCCACTATTTGGATTTACTGGTGAAAACATCGTCCCACGAGGCGAATTACTCTACCTGTCGAGATAGGGTCAGCCCCCTAGTGGGCCACCACTTCATGGAATTCCTGGTGGTGGACCACAGGTCAGCTTACCATGGAGTATTGGGCCGACCAACATTGAAAGATCTTTGGGTAGTCACCTCTATCCATTACTTGTGTATGAAGTTCCCAACTGAGCATGTGATTACTACAGTGTGAGGTGACCAAATGGGCTCAAGGGCATGTTACCTCAATTCTCTACAAAAATCCGAGCCCCTCACTGTTAATGTTATTATAACAGATGCCGACAATGAACCCGACATGGACATTGAAATGCTCGACGCCCCTGAACAAGGGCACACCTCTGAACAGGAGGAAGACGTCGACATGATGGAGGCCCCTGAAGAAGGACACCCTCTTGATGAGTTGGACCCTCGAATTATCGAGTCTGAACCGAATGCGACTCCAATGGAAGAGCTAAAAACTTTCTCCGTCAACCCTGAAGACCCAACTCAGGTTTTGCAGATAGGGAAAGCACTACCCCTCAGGATGAAAGAAGAAATGATGAACTTCCTGAAAAGGAACCTGGATGTCTTCGCCTGGAAGCACGAAGATATGGTGGGAATGGACCCAAAAATCAGTTGCCATCACCTTAACATCAACTCCTCTTGCGCCCCACATCGGCAGAAAAGACGAGCCCTCAACACAGAGCTATATGAGGGGCTCAAAGAAGAAATCGATAAACTCAGTTGTAGTGGCTTCATTAGGGAATCTATCTACCCGAAGTGGATATCCAACTCAGCCCTCGTAAAGAACCCAGCGAAAATGGAGGGTATGTGTAGACTTCACAAATCTGAACAAGGCATGTCCTAAGGATAACTTCCCTCTCCCAATGATAGACCAACTGGTGGACTCCACTGCTGGGCATGAGCTCTTGAGTTTCATGGATGTATACTCAGGGTACAACCAAATACCCATGTTCGGACCTGATGAGGAATCCACATCGTTCATCACAAACAGAGGATTGTACTGCTATAAGTTGATGCCCTTCGGATTGAAAAATGCCGAAGTCACATATCAGAGGCTGGTCAACATGAAGTTTGTATAACTCATTGGCAAAACTATGGAAGTCTACGTGGACGACGTGCTAGTTAAAAGCCTCCAGGTGAAAGGACACGTAAGTCACCTAGACTGGACCTTTCGAATTCTTAGAAAGTATAAAATGAAATTGAACCCCCCTCAAGTGCACCTTCGGTGTATCTTCGGGTTAGTTTCTAGGATATATTGTGAACCAAAGAGGAATCAAGCCGAATCCGAAAAAGATAAGGGCCCTACTAGAATGAGGTCACCTCAGAAGCCAAAGGAAGTACAAAGCCTGAATGACCGAATAGCTGCACTCAGTCGCTTCATTTTCAGGGTCACTGACAAGAGCCTACCTTTCTTTAAAGTCTTGAAGTAAGGAAAGAAATTTCAATGGACAAGCGAATGCGAGGAAGCCTTCCAAGCGCTGAAGAAGCACCTGGGAGAGGCACCCCTACTATCCAAGCCTCAACCACAAGAGCCACTACTGCTGTACTTGAAAGTCTTAGACAAGGCTATCAGCGCAATCCTTGTCAGAGAGGAAAACAAGCATCAACTACCAGTGTATTATATTAGCAAGGCACTGCTCCCAGCAGAAGCACGCTACCCAGATATGGAGAAACTCACACTTTTCCTAGTTACAACATTGAGGAAACTGGGGCCATATTTCCTAGCCCATTCTATTTAAGTTCTCACCAACTTTCCCTTGAAACAAGTATTGCAAAGAACAGACGCTTCGGGCCGTTTGCTAAAATGGCCAATCCAGCTCAGCGAGTTCGACCTGCTTTTTCAACCTCGGAGTGCCATCAAGGGCCAAGCCCTTGTAGATTTTGTAACAGAGTTTGCCAAAGCCCCATAAATGACAGCAACAATGGAACCAGTCGAGCCCCCAACATGGAGCTTATTTGTGGATGGATCGTCAGGAGAGACTGGTTCCGGAGCAGGAGTTGTTTTGGAAAGTCTAGAGGGTCACAAGCTAAACTGCACTGTCAGGTTTAGCTTCAAAGCTTCGAACAATGCTGCAGAATATGAGGCCCTCCTAGCGGGCCTTAGACTAGCAAAAGAAGTGCAAGTGAAAAGGCTCTTAGTAAGTAGCGACTCGCAGCTTGTGGTAAGTCAAGTCAACGAAAAGTTTGCAACCAAAGACAGTGGCATGGCTGCATATCTGAAATTGGTTATGAACCTGGTCCCTCACTTCGAGAGATTCGAACTGGTTCAAGTCTTACGCCTCAAAAATACACACACCGACACCTTGTCCAAGTTGGCCAGCAGCAGGGATTCGAAGTTGCTAAAAATTGTCTCAATTGAACGCCTGCCGAAGCCTTCCATCTCTGGAGGCGAAGAGGTACTATAGATTGAGGCACCCCACTTTGGATACAATCCATCGTAGCCTACCTCAAAGATCAATCGCTGTTAGCCTCAAAAAGTGAGGCGAAGAAATTGAGAAGGAGCTGCTCACTTTGTTTTCCAGGACGATGTGCTCTACAAAAGGGGCTTCGCATCGCCACTTCTCCGATGCGTGGAAGGGGAAGAAGCCATGTACATACTTAGGGAGATCCATGAGGGAGTCTGCGATAACCACTCCGGAGGAATAGCTCTGGCATACAAAGATCTTCGACAAGGTTCTTTCTGGCCAACCCTGAAAAGGGACTCTTGCCAATTTGTTAAAAAATGTGACAAGTGCCAACATTTTTCAAACATTCAAATGCACCCTCCTCAAAGCTTCTTCGTGGTCACCAGCTCGTGGCTGTTCGCTAAGTGGGGGCATAAACTTCATTGGCCCGCTACCAAAAGGAAGAGGGAGTGCTACTTTTGCTATTGTTGCCATTGCACCAAGTGGGTGGAATCTGAACCTCTAGCAAAAATCACTGAAGCGAACACCACAAAGTTCGTATGGAAAAATATCATTTGCAGGTTTGGTATTCCCCACTCTCTAGTGTTTGATAACGACAGGGGGTTCGACAACAAAAAGATGCGAGACTTGTGTGACGAACTCAGCATAAAGGACTTCTCAACACCTCATCACCCCCAAGCAAATGGGCAAGTTGAGGCAGTAAACAAAACTATCAAGCATACCCTGAAAAAGAAGCTTGATGCCTCAAAAGGGACGTGGGTCGATGAACTTTCCCATGTCCTCTGGGCCATTCGAACAACCAGCCGAACTGCAACAGGTGAGACACCCTTCTCCATGACCTGCGGATCCGAAGCCATGAGTCCTATCGAGGTGGGTGTCCCCTCCCATCGTTGGATACATTTCACTGAGATTGTCAACGACAAAGCTTGAGTGCACGAACTTCACCTCCTTGAAGAAAGGAAGGATTCATCTCAAATAAAATTGGCAAAGTATCAAAGAAAGATGACCCGTTATTACAACTCTAAGGTCAGAAATCGAACTCTTCTTCTGGGAGACCTCGTCCTTAGAGGGGTCTTCCAATCATCAAAGCTGACTGGTTCCGAAGTGTTTGGATCGAACTGGGAAGGTCCTTATCGCATCCGTAAAGAGTTTCGATCGGGCACTTATGAAATAGAAGACATGACAGGAAAGGTACTGCCTCATCAGTGGAACATTGAACACTTGAAAAAATACTATCAGTGAAGTGTATGTTCTAATCCAATCTCCATATTATTCAGTCTATTGAAACATTCCTATCTTGCTAAGTGCTAGAATTGCCTTAGTAAAATATAATGTAACGACTCAATCATCCACTCTGTTATATGGGTTAATCAATTGGTGCATTAGTTCTTCAGTAGATTTTATGTGTCAATCTTTGTCATCAATTGGTCACTTAGGTAATTGATGCTTAATGTTTTTGTCCATTATTCATCAAGATAGAAACAGTTCGACATAAAAGTAAAACAAGAAAAAGCAACAACACTTGGGAAAACTTTGATCTCATTAATATAAAACAAGTTACAAAATGAGGGCCGAAGCCATTACAGTGTATTCCTATTCTACTTAGGGGGCTTCGGTCCCAGCATCCGACTCGACCTCTGGAGGGTCTTCAGTAGCTTCCTCGAAGGCCCTGTCAGATCGATCCCTGGCAGGCCCATCGAACTTCGCTTCCAAAGAAGTTAAGTCCAGAGTAGGGTGGACCTCCCTTAGGCGATCCAACATTACCTGGGCATTCCATAAGGCCTAGAAGTTAGCAAAGTCATGGTACAGCGGATGCTCTTCAAAGTGATCGATGAGGCTCCCCTGCCGCCTTCACCTCGACCTTCAGAGATTCGATCTCCTCGGCCTGGGCCTCTGCCCGTTGCCTCAACTCGGCCTTCTCTTTGTTGGAGGCCTCTAGAGCTTCAGTGGCGAGCCGGTAGTGCTCATTAGCATGATCAATCCTCCTTGTCATAGCAGCCACCTGGTACTCCACTTCATGTAGCTCCTTCTTCAGCCTCTCTACCTCTGATTTGAACCTCGCCAGCCGGCCCTCCGCTTCTTACCTCGCCTCTTCCGCCTTCGAGGCCTTTGCCTGGGTGGCTCGTACCGTATCCCCGTAGTGCATCACCTCCTCCAGGCGCTTAGCCAGATCCTCCCTCCTGGCGTCGAGGTCCTTGACGACCAAGCTTTGAAGTTGAACACTCGTGCTCAGAGCCCGGGCGATGCAAGCACTGATGGTAGCTACCAGGTCTTCGACGATGGAGGAGGCTGTGTGGTTGTTATGGACCAAGGCAACAACCGTCGTCTCTAGATGTAAGGCCTCTAACACCTCCCTCACCAGCTCCTTTTTATTGGTAGCCAGGAAGTCAACCTCCTTTTCTGGGCAAGCCCTTTTTCTCCTTTATTGCCCCGACACTTGAGTGGCGAGGATGGCAGCAATCGGGGGGCGGTCAGGGTAGAAGCAGGGGCCGCCGTCCTCTCCTTTATAGCCATCTCGGTGGAAATTGTTGTTTGACAAAGGACCAGGGCAGCCCTTACCACTGTGGCCCCCTTCAACGAACTGGCAGCCCTCTTCCACTTTCTCTGGAGAGCCACCTCTGGATCCTCCTCCGCCTCATCCTCCTCCTCTGCTGTAGGCTGGAGCTGCTTGCTTGCAGCCACTAGGTCCTCCGTTTGCTTCTTATAAACAGAGGATAAGGTCTTCAGAGCCCTTGCCTCGGTCATCATCTGTTGGATAGTTTTGAAGTCGGGCCTCACCAGCCTCTTCTTGTTAAAATCATCTATAGTAAAAAAAACTGGATTAGCATAAGTACAATGAGTTCGAAAACAAATTACAATAGGTGCACTCCAGATAGTTACCTTGGAAGGCCATCAGCTCGTGCGTAATGAAGTGCTTGTTCTTCTTGATTAACTCGTGGTAGGATCTCCTCTTCAGTGGGAGCGGATAAACAATGCAAATTATATCAAACGCCTTAGTGGATATCTCACACCAAGGAAGAGTGCATGCAAATAACAAACACAGGTTAGGAACCAAACAGAAGCTCGAAAGAAATTCAAACACAGGGCATCAGCACTCACTAAGCGATGAATACTTATTTAGAACTGTGAGGGGCGCCAGGACCACCCTCCATCGTGTCCCACCTTCCGAACGCCCAGCACCACGATGTCTTCTAGTCCTTTATTCAGCTTGGCATGTCTAGGACAAATGGAGTGTGGGCCCTTCATGAGGTTAAGTAATACCACCCTTTAGTCTTATCCTCCCCGGCCAGTACTTTGGGGATGTAGAGGGCCTGGAATGCCGAAAAGGGCATCTCCTCCCTAAGAGACGCCTCCTTCCACAACATTTATGAGCCCACCATCTAGCTCCAGGAGTTCGGGTTTAATTGGGTCGGAGCTAACCCATATGACCTAAGGACACACCGGAAGAAAGGGTGGATAGACAACCTAAGTCCAACCCCAAAGAGCACTTCGCTCACAGTTACACAACCCAACCTAGGGTAACAGGCTCGCTCATCGGGCTCCGACAATATAAGGTCTACACTATCAGGGATCCTATACTTTGCTTTAAGTCTACCCAGGTCGGCCTCTCTTAACTTCGATGGGTAGTCAAAAGCCTCCCAATGTTTTGACATATCTACTGGGCTAGCAGGCCTCCGCCAGATGTTCTCCCCCCTATTATAGCCTCAGCCACCTCACCGGACATCGCCAATATAGGCTCATCCCCTAGAACTACGTCCAGTTCCCTCCTCGAAGCGTTACTACTCTCAGAAGCCATTAGAATTCAAAAATAATGCGAAGAACTGGAAAAATACTTACTGAAATGAATGGGTTGAGGTCTTCTATGGTCGAAAAATAAGAGATGACCCTCAGTACTCGTCGAAAACTGAGAATATCACCGAAAAACGCTCGAAACTCATCGAAAATTGACAACAAATTTGAGAGTAATACGGATTCTGAGTTTGCAAAGGTGAAAACGTCTTAATGGCACTAAATACCCTTTTTATAAGAAACCCCAGATGATCCCCACCGTTGAATTCGAATGATGTCCATCCAAACCGTTCATCTCGTCACAAATCTAAATTGTTGAAATGAAACGCTAGATTTGATCAACGCTCAAGATCTTATGATGCCCCTCACGCACACATAAAACGCATCGCCTCGAACATGTAACAGCCATCAGCAATAAGTAGCTGCAGCAACCCTTTTTCTGGGGATGGGCATCACATCCAACTGTCGCCTTGAAAATACGCGACAGCTGTTATATCGATTAGCGTCATAATAAGGCACTTCAAATCAGAGATAATCCCTCCCAATTCATCTCGGATGAATGCACTCTCCAGCTTCAAAAGCTTCGGCGCCATTGACGCGGATTTCCCTATGGTTAACTGCCTCGGTTGCTCAACTCCTCAGCTTTGAAAGGCGTTAGCCATCACCCAATGCGTCGTCCCCTGTAGGTCAGCGCACTGTTGGCAGATGAGCCCTTCATCCAATCTCAAAAGCTTCGACGTCACTGACGCGAAGTCCTCTATGGGTCACAGCCTCGGTCGCAAGACTCCTCAGCTTTAAAAGGCGTTAGCCATCTCTCAAAGTGTCGTCCCATGTGGGTCAGCACACCGGTGACAGATGATCTCTTCACCCAACTTTGCAAGCTTTGGCGCAACCGAGAGAACGCCCTATCCACATCCTCTGTCATCACTTCGTCTCAGCCAATAGCTATCCAGCACATCTTACTTCATTTTTTTTACAACAGCGCTTTGTTAGAATCCACAAAACTTAGGCCGACATATACAGTCAGGAAAACAAGTCCATCCATGATATGAATATTCATGCCTGAACATGAGGGGACCACTGTTACGTCCCTAACTAACCCAGCCACTTCCACTTCGGCACTAAAACCACTTCGTTGAAAAAGTCACATCACTCTCCGAAGCTCCACGCGTCCACCCGAAGTGGCTCCGGAGCGATGCCAATTCCTGACG